CCGATCATCCCGGCCTGCCTTCTTTGCCCCTCTTCCCATGCATTCGGTAGCCTCCGCTCAACCCTGCTCGACAGGGTCCTGAAAGAAAGGAAGAACGCACGACCCGGGGACAGGGTGATCGGGTGTCACCGCAGCTCGCACGTCCCCCGTGGGTCGGTCACACCCCGGCACCGCTTCCCCCCACCCTCTGGCCGGCTGGCTCGGGCATGGCGTTACACAGGGGATGGTCGACTCGGAATAGTAAATAGTAGCGGGGGTGAGGGGTGGTACGGCAGGGGGTGGAAAACTGGTGATCGGGTGAGTTGGGTTGGGGGGGCGCCGTGCCTCCCTTCAGGCCTGCTTGGTGACGTCGCCCGCGCCGGCGCCGTTGCGGCCGGCCAGGCGCGCCATGGCGGCCTCCACGCGCGCGTCCAGCTCGGCGTCCGCCAGCGGGTTGGCGTGCTGCTGGTACGCCTTGGGCTCGCCACCCTTGCCCGGGCCGGGGAGGTCGTGGGGGTAGGCCGAGCCGGCGTGCAGCGAGACGTCCAGGCCCTGGACCTCCCACTCCGGGGGCACGCGGAACAGGCCCACACGCTTGATGAGCATGAAGAAGGGCGTCATGAGGCCCAGCGTCCAGCCCGTCACCGCAAGGATGAAGAGCAGGTGCGCGCCCAGCACCGCGCCGTTGCCACCCATGATGAAGCCGTAGTTGCGCGGGCCGTCGGTGACGGGGTGCGTGCCGTACACCTCCTCCACCATGCCCTGGTCGGCAAAGGCGGCCGAGGCAATGAGGCCCCAGATGCCCGCGCCCGCATGCACCGCGATGGCGTCCAGCGGGTCGTCCACCTTGAGCAGGTGCAGGTTGATCAGCGAGGCGGCGTACATGACGGGGCCCGCGATCATGCCGATGATGATGGCAGCCCAGGTCTGCACAAAGGCGCAGGGGCCGGTGATGCCCACCAGGCCCGCCAGAGCGCCGTTGCCTGCTTTGGGGGGGAGGGGGGCGCGAGTCGGTGGGTGGGTTTGGCTGGGCGGATCGGGAGGAGCGTCAGGGGTGCAGGTCAGGCAAACACACCGGCCGGCGTGAGGATTCTCCGCCTCATCACATCGGAGTTCATGTGCTCGCCAGGGTCCCGATCCTCCCGGCGCTCCGATGGACAACTCCACCCCCTCCTCAAATCCCACACAAAAGAAGACGAGCAAACACATACCTGCAATGACGAGGTCCCAGACCACCACCCCGGTGGTGAAGTAGGTGTGGAGCATGACGGTGAAAAGGGTGGAGATGGCGCCCAGCGCGGCGCCCAGCGTGGTATTCACCGCCACCGCGGCGGCGACCTTGGAGAAGCCCGTGGCGCCCACGATGGCGTTGGTGGAGCCCGGGTTGAAGCCGTACCAGCCGAACCAGAGGAAGAAGACGCCGAGGACGTTCAGGGCGGCGCTGTGACCGGGCATGGGAATGGGGTTGCCCGAGGCATCGAAGCGGCCGAGGCGTGGGCCCAGCACCCAAGCCCCCGCCAGGCTGGCAAAGCCGCCCACCATGTGCACGGGGCCGTCACCGGCAAAGTCGTAGACGCCAGAGTTGGCCAGCAGCGTCCAGGAGGTCTTGGAGGTGGCGGGGGAGCGCAGGGCCGAGGCCCAGCCGAAGGGGGACCAGACCCAGTGCGCGACGACTGGGTAGACAAACATGACCAGCATGAACTCGTACATCATGTAGGCCTCGAAGCGGCAGCGCTCGGCCACCGCGCCGGAGACGATGGTGGCGGCGGTGGCGGCGAAGGTGAACTGGAAGAACCAGGAGACATAGGAGGTGCGGGCCAGGCCGTTCTGGACAAAGTAGCGGTTGCCGATGAAGGCCTGAGAGGCGGAGAACGTGTACACGCCGTCCTCGTTGGCGGTGGGGTCGCCGTAGGCAAAGGCCCAGCCTGTCAGGTACCAGGCCACGGAGCCGAAGCAGGCATCCAGCAGGTTCAGCAGGATGATGTTCTTGGCGTTCTTGGCCCGCACCGCGCCGGCACAGAGCATGGCGAAACCGATTTGCATGAAGAACACCTGGAGTGGGGGGTGGAGGTGTTAAGGGGGGTCAAGCAGGGTGTGTGTGAGCAAAGTCTAGGGAACTCAACACAAGGCCCAGACGTCATGCACCTTGACACCACATGACGGAACCACACGACAAGCGGCCCAATGTCGCGTGGTTCCCCATAGCGACCCTCCACAGGCCCATACCACCCACGCCCGCGCACCAGGTAGCCAGACTGGAGGGTCCACCCGGCATTGATGTCCGTGTACCCCTCGATCCCTCCAATGTGGATGGTCTCCTCGGGGAATCCGCTCACACCGGTCGCCAAGTTATTGTACATGGCGGCCAGGTTCTCGGCCGAGACTGCCATGGTGACAGGTGCTCCTTCGAACTGCGATGGAGGCAGGGCCGGGGGGACCGGTGGGACTCCAAAACTCGTACGTCCAGCTCATGGAGACACGGCAATGTGAAGGAATGATGCATTTGAAATGGTGGTGGAAGAATTGGCGCAACGCGCAGGCTGGAGACCGGCGCGAATGGTTCCAACGGACACGGCAAGTGAGACAGGAGATTGGATTCGCGGCACAGCTAGGGTTGCACAAAACGAGATGGTTTAGGATGAGACGGAGCCGATGGTGGCGTTCATGGCGACAAAAATCGGACACATTGCGGCTGAAGAGGCAATACCGGCCATGCGCAGCGCGAACACCGCGAGGCCGGTGTTGCGCCGGGGTTTGTGCGCGCACCTAGGGTTGAGCCGACCGGCGATGATGTGCGCCCCAAGGTGCGTCCAGCCTCCGTTAATGCCGATGGCAGAGTGTTAAATCCAGGAACAATGCAATGGATCCACTTGGATGGCGCAAGTTGTCCAAAAGTGTTGCCCTAGGTCACCGGGCCGATGGGCTTGGTCCCACTTTCCTCCATGGCATTCTCATGTGGCCTCGGTCGCCACAGCTCCAGAGTGCTCGGAAGGCCCCCCACCTGCTGCTTCGACCCTGACACCTCAATTCGCGCAGTCGCTAGGGCTTTGCAGCCACCCCGCTCCTCGTCGGCCGGAAGCTGGTGCCATGACTCGGTACGACGGCGGCCACACCTGTGCGGACGACTGGGAATTTTACGAAATTGGAACAGATGGCAGGGAAAGGGCCCCTGAATCGCCGCCACATGACTCCATACACTTATGATCGGTATCAGCAAGATGACCAGAGGCAAACAGCGTCGCAAAAGAACTCGAGGGGCACAACCCTAGCCCACCACTTGCACGACTACATGGACCCCCGGACGTGGTGGGAGTCTCCAAATTTTCTGCCTACAAAAGACTCGTGCCCACGTATAGAGTCATAGTCCAGTACATCTAAGTTCGGGTGAAGGAGTATTGCAGCGCACTCATCGTTTGCCAGAGAGCCCTGTTGTATTTGGCAGCACTGTCTCCAAGTTCAGTTCCAGGATTATCAGTCCTGGGGCGGCCCGCTCGCATACACCATGGCTGCCAGCTCCTTCACAACCGCCAGCTCTGACAAGTGGGCCGAGGCCTGGGAGCCGGGAAAGAACGCCTCGTCAGCCACAGCCACCAAAATGGGGATGACCTTGGCGAGGGGGAGAGTCATGGTTCCCATCCGAGCGGCAAGGGCGTCGGCAAACAAGCGAGCCGTCTCCGCCGTGCATTTCTGGGGGGGGGGATGTGTATGAGGGGTAGGAGATTTGTGATAAGGCCATGCAATATGCGTCAGGGTATGATGGCCTAGGGATCAAAGAGCACCCGGCCGGCCGGCGCCTCGCATCCTGGCAGTCGGCGGTCCAGAGAGCGTGACGACTGGAGTGACATCCCTCGCCGCGCCTCCCTGAGGTCTCCAACCCCCAAACCATGAGCGACGCGTGTCCATGACAACCAGTTCCCCAAAGCACATTCTCCGCCTGACCACTCCCCACCCACAAGCAAGGGCCTCTGCCTCCCCTCCAGCCCCGGGCGGACCCCTGCACACCTGGGCGACTCTCGCAAAGCATGCACTGTCCAGTGTCCTCCACACCTCCCCCAGCATGCCCTCCACGGTCTCAGCATCCACGAGCAGCCCCTCCGACCCCGGCAGCAACGCCCTGTCATCCGGCGCCGAGACAGTCAGCGCCGCCGCCACCGCCGCCGGCGAGGGCAGCACCATCTCCCTCCAGGCTGAAAAGTGGGGGGGAAGGGGGGATGTACCAAAGGTGACCACGCATGAGTCTGCAATGAGGAGGTGTCGCATGACTGGTCCAAATAGCTGAGACCCTCAGGATGAACAGCGCGAGAGCGGCACGTCCTACGACTCTGGAGCCGGCTGACAGGCACCCTGGCCCTCCCCAAGCCACACGCCGCAGCATCCGCCAGTGGCACACACAAACAGGAACAGCCCCTCACCCGCGTCCTCCTTGCTGGCAGACATGGCTTCCAGGGCGGCGGACAGGCGCCGCAGCACCTCGGCGCCGTCCAGCCCGGCGTGGAGCTGCAGGCCCGCCAGCGCTGCAGCCGCCGCGCGCCGGGCCGCCGGCAGCAGGCGCGCGTGGCCCTCCCGCGCCAGGTGGTCGGCGAAGGACAGGAAGCGCTCCTGCGAGGGCGTGGAGAGGCGGGGCACCGCCACGCCCACGGCCCCGGGCCCGCGCTCGTCCAGCGCGGACTCGAGGTAGAGGTAGCGCCCCAGCACGTTGAGCTGGCAGCGCACCGTCAGCGCCAGCAGTGGGAGCAGGCGGGTGGTGAGCAGGAGCTGCGCCAGGGAGGCCACCTTCAGCTCCTCCCAAACGCCCAGCTTGTCAGCCGCGGAGAGCGGGGCGCCGTCCCCGGAGACCCCTGCCCGCAAGCGCTCCAGCAAGGGCTGGACCCCGGTGCTGCGGGTCACCGCTGCCCCAAGCGCAGGCAGGAGGGACGGCATGGTGGTGGTGTCCGCGATGTCCTGGATGCTGTCAAAGTGGTGCGCCAGGTGGGCCTCCGCGTCCTGTGGCGAAGGCATTTTGCGCAGTGTTGAGCTTGCAGAGTGGAGTTGATGCTGCACTTCATGGACGGGAAAGTCGAGGCAGCGAGGCCATGCGCTCCAAGCAAACGCCCGGCTTGCACCATGCTTTCTATCTTTGGGCCCTTTGGGCGGGCATTCACCCTCGCGCGCTGTTCTCAGACCTGAAACCCTTGATCGAAAATGTCAAACCTGCACCCAGCCCATGACCACCATGTACACACACCTGCTCGCGTGTTCCTGGGCGTCCTTGCGGGTTCAGGAGCAGCATGTCCTCAAGGGGGTCGCGACCCGAGGAGCTGGCGCCCAGGCCATCCTCTGCCCCCTCCTCCTGCACGCTCCTCCGACTGCTCAGCTGCCGATAAACAGCCCAGGTGGCCGTCGCGCTCAGGGCAGCTGAAGCCAGGCCAACAGTCCACTTCCTACCCCTGCAGTGAGGGAAGAGCTGGATCCATGATTGCCGCCGTGCGGGGGTGGTTATTGGTAGCCCGGTACCGGGACCCGGTCGCCCGACACGTACCTGCTCCATTCTCGAGACATCTGCCTCGCCCTCCCACTCCACAGTGCCCGTGGTCGCTTTATATGATGGAGAGCGGATACAGATGCAAAGACTTGCGAAGACTTCGCCTGAATGCATGCATTTCTTCCAATTACGTGGTGGTAGGGAGCGCCCTGACTCGCCCAATTTGGAATGCCGGAAACTAGGCCGAGGACCCCCCCTCGACTCGAGGCCGCCTGGCTTGTAGGCCTGCGCCAGAGGCCTAGGACACGCATACTCTGTACATGTACTGAATCCAGTGTGGCCTCTCGCTGCGGCATCATTCAGCCTTTGGACAGGGGAAGGGCCACGCAGGCGAGACTTGAAGCAAGCACGTGGCCAAGGTACCGGGACTAGGTAAGCTGGTGCGACAGCGCTGCCCCGCAGGGGGTGGGCATTGCCATGACGGGTCCTAGGCACGCTCATATGTCCTACTTACTGCTCCTGTGTCGTGTGAGGGGCCAGGCACAGCGTCCACTTGCCCCGGTAGAGGTGGAACGTCGGGCTGCTTGGAAGGTCCTCAACCCCTGCCCACGGCCGCAGACAAGGAACTGAGCTGCCACACCGCGCTGACTCGATTCCCGTCCCACAAATAGCTACAGAAATGTGGACGGAGCTGTGAGCGGCCCACAGTCCGGCAGCTGGAGCGGACGAGGGTGCGGGGAGGCGTATGGACGAGGCCCTGACGCACAAAGCCGGGCCCAGCCTGCGGCCATTCGAGGGCCCAACCACCCGCTCCCGCAAGCGACGACTCTCTCAGCAAGCTGTTGACGCAGAAGATGCAGCCCGTCGCCAGGTGTGCAGCAGCAGCTTGGGAAGGGGGGGCAATTGGTATGTGCATGTGCTTCTGGAGCCCAAAGGTGTACGGCATCCTCCTCGCCAGACGGCTGGGTCGCGAAGATGCCCCTCATTCACCATTTAAACCCGGCGTGCCCCCTCATGCTGCACCTCAGGTACGCTGCCCCAGCCTGGGGGACTGGAGCCTGTGCCTGTACATCCGCTGGACGACGCTGTGCGGGGACAGCAAGGTCACGCGGCTGCCCCTGCGCCTGATCTCCTCCATCGAGCAGCTGCAGGGCCTGTTCAGGTGCGTGCTGGGGTTGCGCTAGTGGGCGTGTGGGGTTTGAGGTCCAGCCGCCTAGTCTGGCTGCCTGGGAGACAGCAAGTCTGTGATCCCTCCGCCCCTCCAGCAAACTCTCACAGCTTCTCCCCCCCACACAAATGCAGCCGCCTGATCCGGCACGCCTACGACGGCAGCGACCTGCCCGACTTCCTCACCTCCCCCGCCTTCCTCATGTGCACGCCCCTGGAGGAGTTTGTCAGCGTGCCCAGCGCCCTCGGCTCCACCCACTTCCGGCTGGTGCTGCTGGCGCAGGACGGGTGGGAGTACACCGTGGCAGAGCGCGACCTGTCTTCCCACCCCGACCCCGCCGCCGACCTCATGGTCACGGTGGGTGCTGTGGTTGGGCATGTGGGCGGTGCTGTGGGAGGGAATTCAGCTGCGCATCCGGGCTGTCCCAGTTCAGGACTGTCAGGAGGCGCAGCCGCTCAGGCCACAATTCCAGCCACAATACCAGCCACAATGCAGCAGAGCAGTGCTGGGAGGCCGGTCAGGCATTCAGTTTCCAGCTGCCAATGTCCCTGCAAGGGAGGGGGAGCGCAGCGTCCCCATGCAGCCCATCGCAGCGCTCGAACCCCCCCGCTCCCACCCAGGCTCACCCCCGCCTTCACCCCCCTCATCACACAGATGGCGGAGTTCCAGAGCAATGCCCTGGACCTGGGGGACCACGAGGTGGTCTTCAACATGGTCAGCTACCCCACGGTGTGCGTGCAGCGAGAGGTCGTGGAGCGCATGATCGCGCGCTGCGCTGAGGACCCGTCCGCCTAAGGGTTGAGGCGGCGAGCAGCGCTCGGGAGGCCCGCACCCATGTGCGCGCGCCGCGGCTGCCACCTGACCCTTCATCCCTCTCCCCTTCCGCACCAAACTCCCCTCCCTCCCTTTCCTCTCCCTCCTCTCGCCCGCACTGAAGCCCTTGACACGCTGTCCCGCTCTGTCTGAGCTGCGCTTGTCGCATCTGTGAATAACTTTTGCGCTCGCTGACTGGAAAGGGGGTTTTGCATGCTTGGGTCCATGTGTGAAGGCACGGGTGGGGTTTTGGGGCACGGCGCTGGAGAGGGAGGTTGCCGAGGGATGGCCTGCTCGTCAACAGACCCCCCCCTCCTCCCCTGGCCGCGTACTCACGCCCGCTTCACAAAGGTCCCCTCCCGTGTGTCGACCACCACCTTGTCCCCGGCCACCACAAAGGGGGGCACCGTGATCCTGACCCCATTTTCGAGCACTGCGGGCTTGTAGGACGGCGCCGCGGTCTCGCCCCTCATGGTCGGGGCCGCCTCCCTCACCTCCAGGGTCACGGTGGCGGGCACCTCGCCTGCGAGGCGCGGGTTCAAGCGGGCTCAAAACATTTGCACGATGCGATCAGGGGCTGTGGCGGAGGGCCTCGTCGGCGCCGGTGTCCAGGAGTGAGCCGGCAAAGCACCAGCCTGGGTGCACTGGGTAGTCACTCGCGAAGAACTGCACTCCAAGGCTTCCACAAGGAAAATTTTACCCCCCACCCCCATCCCTACCTCCCTCCTTCTAGCTCACCCACGATGGGCCGGCCGTCGTGGAAAGCCATGCTGACCTCCATGCCCTCCACCAGGTAGGCCGAGCCCGGGTCAAACAGGCTGGCCTCCACTGCCACCTGCTCGTACGTGGCGGCATCCATGGCGTGCAGTAGGCTGCCCTCGCGATACAGGCACGTGTACCGCCTGCTCTCCAGGTGCACCACCTCCACGCTCTCCGAGGGGCGGAACTTGGCGGGGTGCTTGGCGCCGCTGGCCAGGTCCCGGAGCTCCATGGAGATATTGCCCAGCTGGCGCCCGGCGTTTACGTGGGTGCTTCGCACCACCTGCAACAGCTTCCCATTCAGCTCCAGGACGGCCCCAGGGCGGACCTTTTGGGGGGGGGGAGAGGGTTGGAGGGACACCTGGTGGGTCGAGAGAATAACAGCATCCAGGCTCTTGAAGCCGTGCGACCCAAGGGCACAATGTATGAGATAAATAGCGTGAGATGCTTGCTGTTTAAATCAAATGGAGGGTATGTTTGATCAGGACAGTTTGGATGCTGCAGTGGCTCCACTCGTGTGTGGAAAAGGATACCTGAGGGGGTCGCGAAAATCCCAAGACGCTCACCTCTGTGGCCTGCTTTGCCACTCCCCGGATGCTTTGATTTAATCCATGCTGTGTTGGGTACTCAAGTCCTATGTGTTGCAGAGCCGCTCTCCATGAAGGAGAGGCCACCTCCGACAACGCAGCCCGACGGCAGAGCGCTAGCATGGATCTCGCTCAGCACATTGGCGGCAATGGGGCAACGAAGTTACATAAGAACTCAACATTTATTTGTCAGCGATCTGGCTTGCGTCTGCAACTGCCTCCCTGACATCGGCGAGTTTGCAAGAATAATACGGGAGTTTGCACGTGCTTGGACCTCGGCCACCTCCTCTGTCCTGTGGATAGGAGAGTGGGCCTTTGCAGTCACCAGTGAAGGTCACGACTCTCATTGCCCGAAATAATCAGAACTTCACTTCGCCCTCAGGCATGCAATTGAGCATCGCATCCCAGGGCGTCAGGTCGGGAGGGTGGCGAATCCTTCGGCAAGCCCTGCCATGCACACCTTGTCCATCGGCGACCCCCCTTCAAACGCACCAGCCCCTTGGCCTTCTTCCCAAAAGATTGCAAGGATCTTGGGTATGCAGTGCAGCCTCTGAGGATCAGACGCTCGAGAAAGCAACAGGTATTGGGGAGACCTAGGATTGCAATGCAGGGGCACCCATGCTGGACCCACACCCCTTCCGGCTCCTTGGTGATGACGATACCTGACCCGAGCCACTGCTTCACCACACAGAGACCCCTCTTCAGAACGTCGACGTCACAAGGATGGACATCAGGATCGGCAAGATTCTGGAGTGCTCAGTCCACCCAGATGCCGAAAGGTGGGTTCTGGAGCAACGCCTTCGGGCCCGTCTGCCAACCAGCGCAAACCACCTCTGTGGGCAGGCTCCATGCCCTGTTCCTCTCGCCCCCCTTGCAGCCTGTATGTGGAGTCCATCGACCTGGGAGAGGAAGGGGGCCCTCGCACAATCGTCAGCGGCCTGGTCAAGTTTGTTCCGCGGGAGGAATTGGAGGGACGGCAGGTGGTAGTCCTTGCCAACCTGAAGCCGAGAAACATGCGAGGCATCAAGTCGGCCGGCATGCTCCTCTGCGCCTCGAACTCGGAGCACACGGAGGTGGAGCCGCTCCTGCCCCCCGAAGGAGCCCAAGTGGGAGAGCGAGTGTGGTTTGGGGATGCCAGCGAGCAAGCAGAGGCAGCACAGCCAAACCAGGTGCGAATGGTGTTGGCAATGTTGGCCAGGCCGTATAGGGCCTGATGCCGGGCATGATGTAATCTACTTGTACCCACGTTCCCACGAGTTGCACAACCCTATTCCCCCTGTCATCAAACTCCCCTCCAAACAGGTCCAAAAGAAGAAGCTTTGGGAGGCTGTGCAACCCTTCCTGTGCACAGGGCCAGACAGGATAGCGGGATTCTCAGGGCAGCCTATGCATACCAGTGCTGGGGTGGTGGTCGCCCCTAGCCTTGCAGGAGCATCGATATCCTAACGGAATGCTGTGCACTTTGTGTGTCTCTATCTGCTGCCCTGCAAAATACGACCTCGCATGACTCAGTGCATGCGTGCAGTTGGCCTGGGAGGGAAAGCAATGCGTTGCTTACAAGAAAGGACGCCCTTGGAAAATCCCCTACAGCGGGTGCGAGAATCCGCACCCTTGGCAGGACGAAAGGCACTCCGTCTCAGACTTTTTACGATTTCAAAAGAGAGGAGTGAGTGCTGCTACGATGGCAGGCGCCCCGCTCCACCCCTACACCGCTGAGTCCATCCCGGTCTCCGCCATTCGCAACCTTCGCACGATGTGAGGAGGCAAACTGATCTGTGCTGGGGCCAAGGGGAAGACTGTGTAAATAACTGTGATGTGAGAATGCCGACATCGCGTTGGATTCACTCTGGTCCGAACCTGCTCCACCCACAGGTGGCCCTTCGCAGCGGGCTTCGCCGTGACGGGCGGGATCATGTTTTACATTGCATCTCTCCAAACGGGTACGTGACGGCCATGCGTGCTGTGGTCTTCTCGTCCTCCAGATGCGCGCTCAGGCAGTATCTGCCGCTGGTGCTGTGTGTTCTGGCAGCGAAGGTCCTCTGCTCCTTCCCTTGCAGACGCCGCCATCAAGGAGAGCAAGTTTGTCAACCCTCGTCACTGAGCTAGACAGCCCAGCTACTTGGGACTTGGAGTTGAGTGCTTAAGCTCACGTTCTTCATCCTGCGGCTGGAGATGCAGGGCTTTGCTCTTGCAATGGCATGCCCGGTGCTCCCTCCTGGCTGTGAAACACAAACCCCTTGTGGTGTGTAACAAGAAGCCTTACGGATCCATGCAAGGGATGAGGGTGTGGAGAGAGTTGATGGGATGCCTTTGTCAATATGGCACAGTCGAGTTATGTCGGGTGATCATTGCTGGAATACCGTGCCTCCACTGAGTTTAAGACCGCTCTGTATGCTTGCACGCCTCTCATGCTCGCACATCCTCTGCTTCCCCGATGTTGAGCGACCATGCGATTATTCCTTCTTCCTCGTTACATCAGATCACATAAGAGGGATGCCTTTCAGAGGGGAGGGAGATCCTGGGCCGTCCCCACCCCCAGCATCGCTGACACCGTCCCCTTGAGCAGGAAGAGGGCAAAGGCGAGCGCCGCCACGGTGAACACGGCAGTGGAGGGTTTCTTGAGCAGTTTGATGATGGGCTGGATGGCGACGTAGGCCGTGCCCAGCAGCACGGAGAAGAAGAAGCTGATGTATCGTAGGACGTTCGGCCAGAAGGCATCGTTGTCTGCCAGGCTGCCCACCACCATGTTCAGGGCCGGGTGTTGATGGGGAGCCTCCGATGCCAGCGAGGCATCCGAGGCTCCCAGGAGGAGCGCCGCCGCACCCAGCATGACGACCGCTGATCGGATGCCATCGCTGTCCGCCATGCTCCATGACACCCTGCTGCGTGGGTCCGACTCAGCGGAGTTCCGGTGATTATCGGCCGCCTGCGCACGGCTGGACCGTCCGAGCTTCTCATGCGATGTGTTCAAGTACATGTGATACCTTGTTGCACGCCTTTGGGGCGCTAATGAGTGGATTGGTGCTGTTGTTGACACAGCGCAACCCTTCATGATGCACCGCCCGGACAATGACGGGGCAGGCGTCATGCCTCGACCAAGCATCGAGTGAAGATGCGACATTGGAGATATACTTTGTGCAAGTAATACCAGAGCAGGCTCCCATCTGGGTAGCCATCAATGAGCTGGCCGGCCAGGGCTTGGTCGCCCGATCGTGACATGCTGAGCGGCACACCATCATGCGGTGAAATTTTAGGGCTGCGGCTCACATACTACATACTTTATACCGAGCAGACCATGATGGTGGCATGTATCAACAGGATGGTGTGAGGGACGGGTCATGCAACATGTAGGCAGGGGTTGACTAGTGCAATCAGGACGGTAGCCATGCCGGCATGGCGTAGTGCAAGGAGTGGTGATGCATAAGGGGAGCGTACCTGTCCTATCCACTCAAGATTCACTTGCTCTGCTCGGTCCTCGTGGTGGTGCTTCTGCTGGTCTCCTTACCAGAGAGGATGGGCTCCTCGTTCAGGATCCGCTCCTTCACGCCCAGGGACTCCACCTCGCGCTGGTCCACCAGGTCGCGCTCCTGGCCCGTGGCGCGCGTCTCCACCACAAACTCCTTCTCCACGGGGCGGTGCTCGCGGAAGTGGTCCACCCGCTCCTTCACCACCGACCGGTCCTCGGTCTGTGGAGGTATATGTGTAGAGGGGGTGGCAGGGTGAGCGAGGGAGACCAAGCCGAAAGAGATTTAGGGGAGGGGCCACCCCATAATGCATGTGCTCATTGAGAAAAAGCTGTGCGGCACATGTGTGTTGATTGAGGCGACTCTCCGGGGATGTGTCGAACGGCCATCACTGAGTGCTCTTAACAGGTTGCTGCTGATGCCAGTCGTGCACAGCATTTAACAAAGACCTGCCCACACAGGCCAAGTCACTACATCACTTCCCACCCACCCTCATTCTTCCCGCACGTACAACACCCAGGCCCACACGCCAACGCGCCGCCCCCCCCAGAAAACCAAACTCCCTCACCCCACTCTCACCGTGGTGTACTTGTCCTGGCCCAGGACGACCTCCTCGCCCTTGCGCACATTGCCGCCGTCGCCCAGCCCCAGGCCCTCGGTCTTCTTGGTCAACCCCTCGACGCCGGCCACCTGGCCCGTCTGCGACGACTGCCACGCGGCGCCGCTCTGGCCACCGCTAGCGTCATCCACGCCCTGCCTGTCTGCCGCGGAGTGCGCCTCTCGGGAGGTGTCCGTGTCCAGGGGTTTGAAGTCGGTCTCCAGCCCGGCGGCCTGGGCCACCGCTGCGGTAGATAGCTGCGAGGATGGGGGGGGGGGGGGATGCGAGGTGATGCAGTTGTGCAACTTGGGCGACTGGAGCAATGCAGAAGGAAGGACCTCCGAGGACTCCAGGTTGAGGGCAGGCCAGGGACAACTGCTCCCAGCACGACAGGCAGGAGATTGAGTGACGGATGACCTGGAGCAGGCCTCATTGCAGCAACGATGTCGCCCTCTTCCCCTCCGGGGAACACAAGGACCGCCCAGGTCTCACCCCCTCCGTGCGGATGTTGATCCAGACCTCCCCAGCATCCTTGGAGCCGGTTTTGTTGGACAGCGGGATGCGCGTGTCGATACGCCCCTCCTCGAAGGCCTCGCGAAGCGCCAGGGACCCCGTGCCCATAATGCCGTCCTTGCGGACCTTGTTGTAGTCGTACACGCTCAGCTCCAGGATGTCCTCAATGGCCACATTGTTGAACGCAAAGCTGAGGGAGTGTGCAGGTGTGGGAGGAAGTGTGGAATGGATGGTGTGCCTGGCCTCACACACGAATCCGTGCTCGGCCACACATACCAGAACAGGCTGATGAACTATGCCCTTCTAGTCCCTCTTCTCCACATCCCACACGCTCACGTCTCGTCCCAGGTGGCATTCTCGCCGGCGTTCTTGATGTGATGGGTCTGGATCTCGGCGCCAGCCACCTGCATCATCGAAGATGGCAAGAAGATTGTGAGCATCCATGCAGGCAACAAGCTGGAACACGGATTTGGGAAGTCCCAACCTCCCATGCTCGACAGGCCTAGATAGACACAAAATCGCGGTCGAACCCAATGTACCTTCAAGATGGCGTAGGGGTCGGCCTTCCCCAGCCAGGTGGGGTCGGTCAGGTTATGGGCGCTCTTGATGTTCACAATCAGCTTGGCGTATGGGCCGGACGCGGTGGAGGCCATGATGGTCGGGTCGCAGTTTCGCAGGGAATTTAATCAGGAATGTGGATAATATTTCCGCACAATTAGGTTGAAAAGGGTCTGTATCGATGCTGTAATGGGTCACGCAAAGGTAAAGACCACTTCAGCTTCTCCTTACCGCCCACATGGTGCGCAGCTTCCATCAAACGAACGAAGGCGCGGGCGGGAGCGGTAAGTTTTTCAGTCCACGTCGCACGCGGCCCGACAGGAGCCTTGAACGAGGGAGGCAACGATGTGGCAGGGATGTGCCGCGCAAGTGTGGTAAATGAATTGAAAATAGGAAGTAACTTCAAAATGGCGGTTCTCACCCGGTATGATCTGACGATCTCGGCACTCTCCTCCTCTCAGTCGTTTCGTGGAGGACGCTGCTCGACATGGCCCACTCAACGAAGGAGGATCCAATTACAGGCTGGACGAGGTGTGTGGGATCCTTGGAGCCATGTCGAATGTCCTTATTCTGCAGAAAAGCCTTCGTGCATCGCAGCGACTTTTGGCCCATGTATTTCCCCATGTTCGCAGGCCCAGTGGCGTCAGCAGGGACAGTGTCGGAGACCCCCCCCGCGGCCTCGATGCCACAGAAGGCACAGCCCGCCCCCTTCAAGATTCCAAAATCCCTCAGTGAGGTCGATAATGGAAAGATCCTAGGCTTTGGCGCAGAGTTGGCGGAAGGACACCCCGGCTTTGCCGACGAGGCATACAAGCAGCGACGAGTCGACATCTGTAAAATCGCCAGCAAGCATGAGATGTGAGTCATGTGTCCGGCAGGGAGGCATGCTCTCTGTAAGTGTCTTGGAGAGATATCACTTGGAATGGTCGACGTGTTTGCTAGGTTTTGTTGGGGCTGTGGCATGATGTGGAGTGAAGGACGCCTGCGTGTGGTTCAATGCGCCAGCTTGGCTGGTGGTAGAGGGTATGCCAGTCACCACTCCATCAGGAGCATGATCGGATGCCCATGTATGTCAGGCTCAGACCAGTGTCTGCACGTATGGTTTCCATCTCCCATCCCCAGTCACGTGTGCACTCCAACCTGTGTGACCCCCTGTACCTGCCACCGTCGTATGCAGAGGCGCCCCCATCCCCGCCATCGAGTACACGGCGGAGGAGACGGCGGTGTGGTCCTACGTCATGAACGAGCTGGCGGAGCTCTTCCCCGCCCACGCCTGCTCCGAGTTCCTGGCCTCCTGGCGGGAGCTGGGCTTCAGCCCCCGCCGCGTGCCCCAGCTGCAGGAGGTCTCCGAGTTCCTGCAGGCCCGCAGCGGCTGGCAGATCCGGCCCGTGGCGGGCCTGCTCCACCCCCGCGACTTCCTCAACGGCCTGGCCTTCCGCACCTTCCACAGCACGCAGTACATGCGGCATGGGGCCGACCCGTGCTGGACCCCGGAGCCGGACATCGTGCACGAGATGATCGGGCACGTGCCGATGCTGGCGCACCCCGCCTTCTGCCAGCTGGCGCACGCCATCGGCGTGGCGTCCCTGGGCGCGGACGAGGCCCAGATCTGGCACCTCACCAAGTGCTACTGGTACACCGTGGAGTTTGGCGTGGTGCGCGAAGGAGGCGCGGTGAAGGCCTTCGGCGCGGGCGTACTGTCCAGCTACGGCGAGATGAAGAACATGGCCTCAGGCCGGGCCGGCCTGCGCGAGTTCGACCCCTTCCAGAAGCAGCCCAAGATGAGCTACAGCGACGGGTGCGGCGGAGGAGGGGCGATGGAGGAGGAATGGGGGGTGCATGGACGTCGCTGGGGGGACTGCAGGGCGGCATGCCACGCTGGAAGTGGGGGCTGTGAGAGCTGTGCTCTTCAGATCAGGTGGCAGTGCGGCAGGACGCTGGAGTCTGCCACAGCATTGTTCGGGGATGGTGCCAGGACAGGCGTGCGCTCGACTGTCCTTCATCCAGATGCGATGCGGATGCATTGCTCGCCATCCTCGTCATGCCCATGGAGGACCCACACCATCCTCAAATCTTTGATGTCAGAGTTTGAACCCTTCCCCCCTCTTCCCCAATCCGATCCCCAGGTACCAGAAGACGTACACGGTGCTCGATTCCTTCGAGGACGGCGCGGCCAAGCTGGAGGCATACTGCAAGACGTTGCACGTCCCGCTCAGCGATGAGGTCCGCCAGGCCGTGGGCTTGGCGTGATGTATTCCCAGGCAGCGGCGTCCACGGGTCCCCCTCCACACATTCCCTCCACCATTGCCATTCGTCAGCCCCTGCCACCCGATCGGGCGTGGCATCGATTTTCCTCCCCCTCACATCTCCCACCCAGAGCCTCTGGCTCGACGGGTCTGAACGCACACCGACACCAGCATGAGTCTCGTCTCTGTAAAAGCCGCGGCCTCTATATGTAAGCGAGTTATTCAGCTACATGAAATGCAGGGGGGGGTGGGGCAGTGCGTCGTGTCTCTGAGTAGGGGTGAAGGGGGGTAGACATGTTGATGGGGTGTACTAATAGGCCTATAAGTCCTGGTGAAGGCAACAAAAGGGGAGCCACGAAACAATGGAGAGTCCTGTCCACCTCGAGCATGACTTGCCAGGATGAGGAGTGGCAGGGACCATGCAAAAAACAAGGGCAAGCATATAGAGCAGGGCGGCAGAGATCCCAGGATATGCTGAGGTCCTACGAGACCACCTACAGATATCCTGGCATCCTCGTTTGGATTGGGAGGACCACTCCGGGGGGTTGAGGCCCCAATCTCAGTTCAGGACCCTGTCCCGTCGATGGGATTCAGATGTGCCTGAACCTGTACCGGGCAGCCCTCAGCGCTCTGAGGTCCCGCTCGACTGCCCCCACAGTGTTGATGACGGAGAGTGTGATGAGGGTCCAGACGGCGGGGGCGGCGGGGAGCCAGAACATGCGCCAGGCGCCGTCCAGGACGAAGCCGCGCAGGCGCAGCATCTTCAGGATGCCCAGGGACCAGAAGACGGCCATGAGCGTGGCCAGGACCACGGCCGGGCGCAGGATGGCGCGGCCCTGGTGCTCCGACTGGTTGCAGTATGCCGCCACGGCCCAGGTGCCGGCAGCCACGGCAATGCTGCTGCCCAGGTCCCCCGCCGCGATGGCTAGGGGACGCAGCACGTCTCGGAGCTCGGCGTGGTGGCGTATGGACCATGGATCAACCAGGGCCTGCCCCGCGAAGTAGAGGTAGAGGAGGGCGAGGCAGGCGCCCAGCGGGGTCACGCAGAGCTGGGTCTGGCGCCGTGCTCGGGCGGATTGGGCCGCCAGCTCCTGAATCACCGCATCCTGCTCGGATTCGTCCAGTATCGAGGCCACGTCCTCCTGCGGTAAGGGTCCGGGGCGTGGTGAGTGTACATATCCGCCAATTCCTCGGGGCTCAAAAGGCGGTGCACCCCCTCCCCGCACCTGAGCATGACGCTGGCGAAGAGTCGACATCTACGGCCAGCCCATCACGACCGGCATGACAGTAATGCTTGTGTTTGTTAGCTAATTGGCGAAGGTAGGGCGTACTGGTGCTGTGTGCCGGCCATACTCGAGGTCGTGAGATCTACATAGACGAGATCAATTCGTGTGACATTACATTCCCTTGCACGTACGGCAGCTTCCACCCATCGCACTATCCCTGCATGCCCATCCTCGCAGCTCACGTCGTGTACTCTGTGGAAGAAAGGGATCAGAGACAAATGTGGGTTTTGATTCAGCCTCCCCTGCCGAGGGCAAGGCCGGGAACGGTGAACATCTGTGTCGTCCCCCCTCCAGTCCATGCTCATCCGTGTAGCGGGAAGCTTGGGATCTGATAGATTTGGACTCCCCCGCACACCACCATCTGTACATGGGCACATGGTACCCCCACCGCGACGGAGTGTGCGGACGTGACAGCGCCCGCGGCACACTCTTCACTCCCGCCTCCCCCCCTTCCCTACATCTAAATCACATGGCACTGCCCCACCCATGCCCCCAAGCCCTCCATGCCCCCTCACCCGCGTTGATCTTCACGTAGTCGTACGACAGGTCGCAGCCCCAGGCCTGGCCCACGCCGGGCCCATCCCCAATGCTGACCTCGATGGTGACGGTGCCATGGGCGGCGGCCGCCGCCTTCATGTATGCGCTGGCGGCCGCCGCGTCAAAGTCCAGCGGCTGGCCGCCGCGCATGAGCTCCGTGTCCCCCAGGCTGATCCGAACGTCCTCCTGCCGGTAGTCCACCCCTGAGTACCTGTTGAGGTGGGGGTTTCCAGGGGTTGCTGGGGCGCTTGCGGATGGAACGAGTGCTGGAGGGCGTCAGGTAGGGGGGCTGGCTGCACTGCCAGCACTGCCTCCCTCCTCTGCCGCTTGGCGGTGGTGCGCGGCGGGCGAGGGAACAGTCACACGCAGCTCCTTTCTCCTACAAGCAGCCGGCTCTGCCGTGCCGCCTGAGGTATGGTGGCAGCATCCCCACCATGTCACTTCTCCCCCTGTTTACCCAAACCCCTCACCCGGCGGCTGCGGCGATGCGCCCCCAGTTCGGGTCGTGGCCGAACATGGCGCTCTTGACCAGGGAGCTGCCGACCACGCTGCGCGCGACGCGGCGCGCGTCTGCGTCGCTCCGCGCCCCCCGCGCCGTGCACTCCAGCAGCATGGTCGCCCCCTCCCCGTCCCAGGCAATGGACTTGGCTAGGCCCTGGAGAAGGACGGTCAGCGCGGCGCCCAGCGCACGCGCCTCGGGCGAGTTCGGGTCCCCTATTGCCGCCCCCCCCGCCGCGCCGTTGGCCAGGCCCAGCACGGTGTCGTTGGTGGAGGTGTCGCCGTCCACGGTGATCTGGTTGAAGGAGGCGGCGCAGGCGGCGGCCAGCGCGGGGCGCCAAACGGCGGCGGCCACGGGCGCGTCGCAGGTGACCACGCCCAGCATGGTGGCCATGTTGGGGTGGATCATGCCCGACCCCTTGCACATGCCGCCCAGGCGCACCGTGCGCCCGGGCGCCAGCTCCACCTCCAGCGCCGCTGATTTGCTGGCCAGGTCGGTGGTGGTGATGGCCACCGCGGCGCGCAGCGCGTGCCCCGCGCCAGCGCCCAGGCCCGCCGCCAGCACGGGCAGTGCGGCGGACAGCGCGTCGGCGTCCACGCGCCGCCCGATCACGCCCGTGGACATGACCAGGAAGGGGTCGGAGGCCTCGTCGCCGCCCAACGCGTCGGCCGCCGCGGCCGTCGCCGCGCGCGCGTCGCGGTCGCCCGCCGCACCCGTCGCCGCGTTGGCCTGGCCCGCGTTGATCACCACGCCGCGGACCGTCTCGTGCGCGGCAAGCACCTCGCGGCACAGCGTGACGGGGGCGGCGGCCATGACGTTGAGCGTGAAGGCGCCGGCAGCGACTGCAGGGGTGTCGGAGACCACCAGCGCCAGGTCGGCCTTGTCGCCCTTGGCACGCAGGCCGGCATACATGCCTGTGGTGTGATGGGGGGGATTGGAGACAGGGGGTGGGGTCTAGAGGAGGGAGTTGGCGGCGGGTTTGGGAAGTCCACGCGGAAATGCCAATAGCTCAGAAGGAGAACTCTGAAAGAGACCACGACATGGCACCCGCGCCCATGTGTGCCAACAGCCACCCTCCCGTAACCTCCCTTCTACAACCCTCCCCCCCTAATTAAAACTCACCCTGGGCCTTGAAGCCAGCGGGCGCCGTCACGCCACCCTCGATCACCTTCCAGGGACCCTCCGGGATGAGGATGGGGGCAGCGGGGATGTCGAAGCTGCCTGGCAGGCCGGCGGAGGCCTGCTCTGTGCTGGCGGCAGAAGCCATGGTCTGGGGTGCAGAGTGGAGAGGGCTTTTGGTGGGTGGCCAGAGGAGGGCGATGCAGCATGACGGGTCCCCCCCCCCCCCTCCAAGGCTGCGCTCCCTGAACTCATCATTGGTATGTGTGCAGCCTCCAGGATCCCCAATCCAGAATATGCATCCAATTGCACCCACCACGAAGCGGCGAGGGGTGGTGCAGTGTAGCCGAAGCACTGCGTGTTTATGATGTGGAGGTGGAACAGGTCAGGGGCTGGTCGGCCAGGTGGGCGAGGGCCACGGGCGAGATGAGCTGGAAACCCATGCCCAGGAGGCAACTCACCCCTCCCAAGTGTGTGTTCAGCTTGGAGAGGAATGGACCTGGAGCAGCGGGGGGCGTGGAAGCATCCTGGGGAGTGAGGCCGTGTACGGTCACCGAGGGCAACCAACCGGCCACCCGAAAAGCTCGTCGCTGAGGTCTGCATGACGAGCGAATCTATATATGAATACGCTTTCTAAAACTACGCCAATGGGTCAGGAGAAGTGCCAAATTGTATGGAGATCAAGGAGGCCCGTGATGTCGGATTGCACGAGTGACAGCGGTCGAGGGAGAACGTGAATGCTGGATGGAGAGGAAAACCCTTCTCCCCTGGATCGCCTCTTTGCTCACGTTACCGTCACACAACCCTTGGTCGCGCCCCACAGTGCTCACTGCTCGCCATCCTTGAACCAAAATAACGGCAGCTGCGTCTTTCTGAGCCCTGTCATCGAGCATCTGCACGTGGTGACCCTTGGTCACACATTCTCACCCTACCTTGTCGGAAGTGCCTTCCAGTGCCTCCCAGCGCCCATATGTCGGGCTCGGCCTTCACCAGGAGGGTGAACGACTTCAAGACCAAGTTCCAGTCTCTTCTGGGTGCCAAGTCCCAGGTCAGCGGAATGGGTATCTGTGTGCAGTAGCCTCCCCCTCCGATCACTTGTCACCCAGGGAGTCACGCAACCGTCCAGAACACCCCATTCCCACCTTTTATCGCAGGGATACGATGAGTTGGATACTCTAGAACGGCCCCTGTTTTCGGCGCAGGACGAGACGGATGACTACGAGCGCACCCATGGGGTTGCCGCACCCCAGTCTTACCGCCCCCCAAACACGGGCGGGGCCACCGGCGCCGCAAGCTTCACTGCTGCCGCCGCTGTGCCGTCCCAGGTGTGAGGCTCGCGGCGCGACACCGCTCTTTGCGTCTTCGGAGTCCATGGTGCATGATGTGCAGGGTGGTGGTGGCAACATTGGGTTTGAGCCGTTCGCACTGATTCACAGTAGATGCACGGCTCGCTTCCGCTCATGCATGGGCTCACCATCTTCCCTGCTTTCCATTAGGTGGATGAGATCCGGGAGCTGTCGGTGCTTGCCAAGGACGCCGCAGGCATCCTGTGGGAGATGGTCGCCCTGGGGGAGACGGGCCCGGCTGCAACCGAGATGCGGAGCACGGCCGAGCAGCTGCAGGTGCGTGCGGGAGGGTTCTGGTGTTCCTCCCTTGTGCCGGCAGGCTAGTTGCCTCTGCGGAGGATCCCCCGGGGTCTCTGGGTTTCATGCCAAGGGATCTGTCACGACCTGCATCACCCGGACCCCCTCATCATCACTCAGGCCCAACTTCGCGGCCTCATTGGAGATTACACGGGGGGTGATGAGGCACTCTTCAGCCAGGCGTTTGAGGCGCTGGACATGCTGAACAGCTGCCTCGCAGACCCCTCCGCGGCCCAGCCGGGTGCCGATGCGGGGGCGCCCAGCCCCTCCGAGCCCCAGGCCGCGCCGGCGCCCAGCAGGAGCGACGCGCCGCTCATCAGCTTTGACTGATCACCTGGTTGTCTTGTCGTGGGGCTGGGGAGCCCCGCTCGTCCAGCTGGGCCCCGGCCCCGGCCCCGGTGTACCCTCGTTGACCCTCCTGACCTTGCTGCTCAGATGGTGTGCATGGAGCATTGCGACGCCGAGCCTCGTCGGCAAGCGCTTCGGCCCCCCCCCCGAGGCCTGGCGTCGGGCCCCGCCCCGGCTGCTTTGCGTCGCGTGGCACCGGGCAGGATATTTTGTATTGCATCGTTGTACACGCGAGCTATGTGGCGTGGCGCATCATGGCAAGGAGGCCGCAAGGTGGAGGGTGGGGCAGCAGCGTCGAAATTCGCCCGCGGAGGAGGAGGGTGGGGAAAGGCGCTGCTTGTGACGGTGGGGCGACCCAACAGGTCCCCCTTTCTTTTCCTGGAGTGGAGGCAAGGCCCCGCGGGGTCGGAGAGCCGGCCACCCTCGCATCTCCCTCTCCTAGCTGGGCGGTGTGTAAGCGTCCCAGCCCTGGGCGGCCATGGCTTCCCGCTTGGCCATCACCATGTCGGTCATGCCGCGCTGGTACTCCACCATCCTGGCCTGGATCTCGGGGTCTGCCACGCCCAGGATGCGGGCGGCCAGCAGCCCGGCGTTGGCCGCGTTGCCGATGGCCACCGTTGCCACCGGCACGCCCTTGGGCATCTGGGGGGTGGTGTGCGAGGATGTAGATCGCGTAAGTTCAGGGCCACTGCTCCCCACCAGGCGGTCACCGCCGGGGGGGTGTCCACCCTGGACATCTGCTCAACCCCCATCCGTTTCACATGCCTCTCCAATCGCACAAACACAGGGACAAGCACTCCTTCCCCCCCCCAAAAGGTGGTCTCCCAACCTGGCAGATGGAAAGCAGGGCGTCCACGCCGTCCAGGCGCGCGCCCGCCGGCACGACCGGCACGCCGATCACCGGCAGCGGGGTCATGGCGGCCAGCATGCCCGGCAGGTGGGCCGCCCCCCCTGCCCCGGCGATGATCACCTGCACGCCACGAGCCGCAGCCCCGCCCGCGTACTCGGCCATGAGGGCTGGGGTGCGGTGCGCCGACACGATCTCCACCTCCACTCCCACGCCAAAGTCGGCGAGCACCTGGGCCGCGGCGCGCATGGTGGGCAGGTCGGAGTCGGAGCCCATGAGGATGCCCACACGCGCCGGCGGCGGCGCGGCGCGCGCCGTGCCTCCTCGCGCCGTCGCCGGCGCGAGCGGCGCGGCGCGCTCCAGCTCGCGCGCCGCTTGGGGGTCGACGCGCTCGAGCGCTGCCCGCGCCTCGCGCCGATCGTCGGCGACTATGGTGAAGTGGCCCAGCTTGCGCTTGGCCTTGAACTCGGCCTTGCCGTACCAGTGCAGCGCGCAGCGCGGCTCGGCCGCCGCGCGGGTCCGCAGCGCAGCGATGCGCTCGGCGTTGGCTGCCTGGCCCGCGCCGTCGCCCAGCACGTTGACCATGATGGCGGCGCCGGCGGTGAGGGAGGTGTCGCCCACGCGCTGCCCCGTCACCGCCTGGAGGTGCGCCAGGTACTGCGAGGTGGCGCAGGCCTCGATGGTGTAGTGCCCCGAGTTGTGCGGGCGGGGGGCCACCTCGTTGAGCAGGAGGCGGGGTGTCTTGTCTCTGGCGGCCGCCGCCGACGCCGGCGCCGCACCGCTAGGGGCTGCGGTCCCCGGCGCCGGGCCGCCCTCCCCATCCCCGTCCCCGACGACAAACATCTCCACGCCGTAGACCCCGGCGCCGGGGAGGCTGGCCACCGCGGCGAGCGCGACGCGCTCCGCTTCGCGCGCCAGCCCGGGGTCGATCAGAGCCGGGGTCTCGGTGACCACGCAGATGCTGTCGCGGTGCAGGGTCTGGGTGACGGGGAAAGCGCGGAGCGCACCGTCGCGCCCCTGCGCCACCATCACCGCCAGCTCGGCGCGGAAGGGCACCCAGGCCTCCGCGTACAGGCCCTGGCCCAGGCCGCCCAGCGCGGACAGCGCGGCGGCCGCGCCCGCAGGGTCGCTCACCACCGCGTTGCCGCGCCCGTCGTAGGCCAGGCGCCGCGCCTTGAGCATGAAGGGGTAGCCGTGGGCCGCGCCGAAGCGGGCCAGGTCGGCCTCGCTGGCGATGGCGGCGGCGGGGGCGCAGGGCACGCCTGCCGCCGCAAAGTGCTCCTTCTGCGCCCACTTGTCCTGGATGACGCGCAGGACGGAGGGGGAGGGGTGCACCTCTATGCCCGCCTCGCGCGCGGCCTCCTGGGGATTGTTTGGGGGGGGTCTGAAGAGGATCAGTCATCGGGCGAGCTTGAGATGATGTGGGAATGGAACTCCATCAGGGGTGAGGACCTGGGACAGGACCCCGCAGCTGGGCGAGAAGGGATAACATGCACGCAATGGCGCGGCGCAGGAGCCGGGGACAGGCTGGGTGAACTGGGTACGAAGGCTGTCTGCAAGTGACAAGGGCATCTCAGCTGGGCCCCTTGCCACGTGATGCAATGCAGCCAGACCCATACCCCGCGCGCACCTCCAGCGCGTTGGCATCCACGTGCTCGATCTCCACGGTCAGCAGGTCGACCGACTTGGCAAACTCCCGGATGGCGGCGGGGTCGGTGAAGCTGCCGAGGACCTGCTCTGCCACGGAAGAGGCGGGGCAGGACGGGGTGGGTTCCAGGACCTTGAGTGCCAGGTCAATGGTCGCCTGGGAGAGGAGTGAGTGGTGGGGAATGCGATTCATGACGGCTGCTGCATTCAATGACTGGACTTGAGAGGGGCAATGGCAACCCACACATCAGGAAGACAGCTGAGCAAGCACAGGGCTTTTCATACCAAGTACATCTGCCAAGCAGAGAGCGTCAGACCGATGTGGTGCCAGGAAAGTGTTCTCACATACTGGTGTCGCCACCCACCAACCCCAGCGCCTCCCTCAAGATCATGCCACCGACTCACCCCTGCCTCAGCCATCATCATGCCGAGCTGTCCACCACCAAGCACACCCACAGTCTTCATAGATTGGGAGGCCCCGCCGCTGCCAACGGTTGGGGGTGCTCCCAGGGCTGGGTCGGCGGACGCCTGCACAGTGGCCGACACTCCTCTCCTCTCTCCACTTCGAACTCCGCCACGAATGCAGGTGGATGGTCTTGAAATGGAAGACATGTGCGATTTACTCAGAGGACTGCGAAAGCAGGCAATGCGGGATGTCGAGCTGCTCCTGCCAAGGCCCCACGGCCCAGGTGAGAGCGCCAGCATTCCCACCACAGTACTTGGGCAGGCCAGTACCAGCCAAGGATCCAGCCGTGAATTACCAGATATTCAGTATGCCATACGGTGCTGTGAGAGGGTGCTCAGGCCAGCCTACGAGTAATGCCGTGCATTGCGAAATGGCTTGGGGCGCGCTCGAATGGATTCTCATGGCCATACTCCCCACCACATCCCCTGCCCGCCGAGAGCGGCCCATATCCTCAGTCATTGCATCGCATAGCCTGACATTACACAGAAATAGCGAGAAAATCCACGGGGTTAAACACCCACCCAAGTAAGGCGCCCAGTACGTGACTAGCAAAGTGTACTCCCTCGTTGCCACGGGAAGGGGAAATAGCAGGGAATGGGGAAGCAGGGAGCAAGTAGAACTTTGTGCACAAGGGTTCCGGTGCAATACAAGATGCTCCAGCGGAAACAAAAGGGGCCAGGAATGGCTCGCATTGGCGCAAGTTGCTGTTTCCACCGGAAGCCGGGGAGGAGGGTGCCAGCCTGACCGTCGAACATGCGGAGTCGCTCTCATCGAAGGGCGGGCCAGGGACCAGCAGCTTTTGCGCCTGAGGCAGTACTAGAGCGCCAGTTTGGGGCACGCCACTGCCCTGGTGGATGCATGGGAGGTGCGTGGGATGAGACATGAAAGGGGGATCGGAGGGCAGCGCTGGGGTTCGGGGTTGGGAGGGGGTTCTGTTGCGCCGGGCGGCCTGCAGCGGCGTCTGCGGCGAAGGGGTTGATGACGGCGACGAAGGGGGTGTTGACGGCGACTCCATGGTACCGGAAGCGCGGCGAAGGGAGGTAGGCAGGCGGCTGCGGCGGGGATGTGTGTGCGGGGACGGCCTCCTCACCGCGAGCAGGTCCCTGCCACAGCGCCCCGCCGCCCCGCCTGGGCTCAGAGCGCACGGCGCTCACACCATGCCGTGGCCCGCCAGGTCCTGCTTCTCGAAGGGCGACCTGGGCGACTTCTCCTGCCGCTCGCCCTCCTGCGCCGCCGAGCCCTCGGCCCCACTGTCGCCCGGGCTGGACCGATCTGTTCCGCCCGCGGCCACGGCCTCGTGGTGCCGCAGCCGCTTCTGGATCTGGGCCACCACGGAGTGGAGCTTGGGGCTGACGGCGCGCATGGCGCCGTGCGCGCCGTGCACCGCCGAGTCGAAGGCCTGGGCGGGCCAGGACATCGCCCCGGAGCGCCCGCCGGCGGTGCCGGGCACGACGGCCACGGGGGATGTGGGGCGTGAATCTGGGGAGGAGCTGCGCATGGAGTCGGCGGGGGACTGGGAGGTCGGGGAGGACTCGGTGATGGAGGCGGCGTCCTCGAACCCGGCCAGCGGCGGCGCGGCCAGCAGCATGTTGTACACCGCGCGCGCGGAGGGGCGGTCCTTGGGGTCGTGCTGCATGCAGGCGTGGATGATGGCCACCACCTCCTGCGGGCACTCCTCGGGGACCAGCGGCGGGCGCAGCATGCCGCGCATGGGCATCTCCTGCGTCACGATCTCCCACAGCACGGTGCCCAGGGACCATATGTCCACGCGCTCGTCGCAGCGCTGCCCCATGAGCAGCTCCGGGGCGGCCCAGGCGAAGGTGCCCACGAAGCCGTCGCTCTGGTGCTGGTCCTCTAGGATGCGGGCCAGTCCCACGTCGCCCAGCTTGGCACGGCCGTCGCGCGTGAGCAGGACGTTGCTGGACTTGATGTCGCGGTGGCTGACGCGGGAGGTGTGCAGGAAGTGCAGGCCGCGCGTGATGTCCAGCGCCACGCCCTTGCCCCCCGCGCCCCACACCAGGCGCTTGCGCACGTCGGCGGTGATGGCCTTGCGCAGGTCCCCGCCCTCCATGTACTCCGCCACCAGCATGAGGCTCTTGGCCCCCACCACCGCGCCGTAGAACTGGGTGATGTTGGCGTCGCGGGAGACGAAGCGCATCATCGCGATCTCGCGCACGAACTGGTCGCGCAGAGGGTCCTCCTCGCAGCGCAGCGTCTTCACCGCCACCACCTGCACCCCGTCCTTCACGGCCTTGAACACCTTGCCGTAGGAGCCCTCGCCCAGCTGCCAGGGCTCGCCGTCGGGGCGGTGCACGATCTCGATCCGCTTCTCGTCAATCTCCCAGTCGCCGTCCATCTTCTGGGCCGCGGCCTGCGCCGCGCGGTGCTTCTTCAGCCAGATGAAGCAGTAGTACATGCACCCCGTCTTGGCGATGATGAAGATGATGCCCAGCGGCACCGCGATGCCCACGATCGCCGCGGTGGACAGGCCGCCGCCGCCGCCGCCGTCGGCGCCGGCCGCCGCGGCGTCGGCGCCCCCCGCGCTCGCCGTCGTCGCATTGTACCGCAGGTTGGTGTACCCCATGAGGTTGGGGGAGGCGATGCCCGCCATCAGCACCCGGTCCGGCGTCGCGGCTTCCTCCAATGCGCGTCTGACCTCCGCGGGCGTGGCCGTCGGGTTGTTGGACAGGTACTGCGCCGCCAGGCCCGTCACCAGCGGCGTCGCGCCGAACGCCCTGGTGATTGAGGATTAGTTTCAGGGGAGAGGAGAGGGGTTGGGCAGAGGGAGTGGGGAGCTGGAGGGTCGCTTTCCAGCAGGCCACGACAGGAGCAGGAGGAGGGGCTGCATGGCAGGCTGCATGCCGGCAGGGGCGCGGTGGGTGATGCAAGGGACAGATGCCGCCTCGGATGCGTCCCTCCCAACACACTGCTCTCCTCCTGGACCCATGGAGGAATGCATGCCCAGCATCCTTGGAAAAGCAACCCCAGCCTCACCGTGGGATAATGGAGGTGTAGTCGCTGTAGGCCATGGCACCCAGCACGCCGTTGCCCAGGCCGCCGCCGGGCGCCCACAGGGAGATGCAGGAGGAGTTGGCCGCGCCAAAGAGGGTGAGGCGGTCGAAGTCGTCAAAGCCGGAGGCCACGATGGTGCCGGGATGGGCGGCCAGCACGTTGTCGCAGGCGGGCGCGTCGCCGAAGCCGGCGGGGACGATGACGGTGATGTTCTGAGCGATGGCCTGGTCCAGCCGGCTCTTCAGCGCCTGCTCGATCCACTGGTCGTCGTCCGAGCTGAAGCGGTTGGGTGACCACCTGGGTGATGGCGAGGAGAAGGGGATGGGGTTGGGGGGTCAAAGTTACTGCCACTGTGGTCCGGGTCAGGCCAGGGACGCACCACAATGCTGTCCTCCCTCAGCGTGCAAGGGCCTCTAGCACAGACATGCGTCCCCACTCGACCAACTCTTTCCCTCACCAGGTCTCAATCATCATGATGGCGGGGGCGACGGCCGTCGAGAGCACCGCGTCGATGGCCGAGGGCAGCCCCCCAGGCGCCCAGATATTGGTGGACTCCAGCATGCACGAGGTGCGGAAGCGAACCGAGGTGATGGTGGCGTTCTTGGCCACGCCCAGCGTGTTCCCGCCGATCAGGGAGGCGGAGTAGGTGCCGAAACCGTACCAGGCGAAGGCGTCGGGGCAGTCCTCCAGCGGGTCGGTTCCGTTGTAACCCCACCCCGCCTTGATGCGCGTCCCGGGCACGCCGTCGGTGCGCTCGAACTCGGTGTGGGCGGCGTCGATGCCGCCGGAGAGGAGGAACACATTCACCCCCAGCCCGCCGTTGTCGGCGGTGTACTGCCCGTCCAGGGGCAGCGTGCGCTGGTCCAGGCGGTCCAGGTGCCAGGGCACGGCGGCGGGGGCCTGGAGCTGGTCGGGGGCCTGGGGCGAGGGGCGCAGGCGGATGCCAGCCAGGCGCGGGGAGGACATGCCGTTCTTGTCCAGCCAGGCCACCACGGCGTTGGAGACAAACAGGTCCAGGAGCTTGAACTGCAGCGTGCTCAGCGCGCAGGACTCCCACCCCGTGTTGTTGGCGTTCTCGCAGGCGGGCAGCGAGATGTCCAGCACCATCAGCTGCGAGCCGTTGCCGTAGTCAAAGGTGGCGGCAAAGAATTTCTGGACAGATGGGGGTATGGGGGGGAAAGGGGGGTCCAGCTT